ATTCTTAGCTCAGGATAAGGATAATAATTGTCTGGTGTTCTCCGATCTTTGAGGTGTTTTCCTAGAGGTCTCATCTCCAGGCTAGTCAACTTCATCAGCATTTACTTCATAAAGAAGTGAGATATGCTCATCTAACCACTTCAAACGTTTTCCCAATCTACTCTTACTCAATTTGAAACTGGGTAACTGCAGTAATGTTGTATTAAAAAAAATTTTTTTAAGAACTGGTAAGTCGGAAAAAGGGGAAAAGTGCAAAATTTCATCGCCTCGTTTTGTGATTGGAGACAACAGATAAAATATCTGGAACGTAGATTTCGCGCTTGTTTGCAGTCAGCAGTCGGACATATCGGAAAACCTTAAGGTACTAATATTGTCCAAAAGATTCAGATTGGCGCAACAAACAGCTGCAGTCAGACACATTAGCACCATAATGTTTGGACCACGACTGACTTCACTTGATAGCTGTACACAAACAACAAGTGCAAGCAAAACGCCATGATATCATAGTGGAAAATAGTGTTTGGGAGGAGTAAAGATTTCAAAAATGAAGGTTAGTGAAAATATTCAAACTTCAGAAGATGGGAAAGAGTAAATACATCTGCGCAAAGTGAGCATTGTTCTCCAAACATTGATTTCTATTATCTTGAGGTCCCCAACCAAGTACTTGACACCTTTATACCCAGCTCAGACTGAATCAGAGACGCCACGTCTTGATCTAGTCACCCTGAATCCTTTCCCAACACAATCCTACTTCAACGCCAACAGGTGCAAGATCTGGATCCAAGGCTTTCAACGGACCACCTTTAAACACCGAACATCAGTCTGAGTGCACTGTGATGAAGTGTCTCCTAGCCGGGTGGCCACATTACGAACTAACTTAAGATTACACAACACGAGATTGATTACTTTCCTGGGGCACATCAATCAAAGTCCCTTCCACATGTGTAAATTAGCAGTAGATCATGACGACAATTATTTTTAAGGAAGTATATCTATAATGCCGACAGAGAATGATAAATTTGTGCCTCAAACAAGGGTACACCAGTTAGGTTTACCGCATTCCTTGAGAAACTACACGCAGATAATCAAAAAAGTGAATAGATATTAGTACAGACAAGGAGGTTATGAGAGAGGGAGAGAGCTGCGATATTTTAAGGAGTGCAGCCAAACTTCTACAAATGACCCATACTGATAGTCACTGTACTCATGGGTTGGTGTTGATTTGTGACGTTACTGTTCATAGTTTTTTTCTTCACGGTTAATACCGTATATAGTCGTTACTGTCCAGAATCTGAGAAACGGCATGTTACATTTTCAAGCGCAAACGATGTCTGTAATGCATCTCTACTACTAATTTTGAACAGATTCCATTCCCAATACTCTTAAAAGTGTTTAGCTCAATCAGATATCAAACGAGTATTTTTCGCTTATATATATTACTATACAAAAAATATTAGTCTATACCATGATTATTATTTAATACAATATTTAATGATTAAATCCCAAGTAAGATCAACTTTTTTGAAACATGTTGTAATCAGATCAGTTATGTCCGCTAAATCAACCTATTTCCACTGATATTATGTCAAAAAAAAGATTTGATTATCATTTCTAGAAAAGAGGAAAAAACAAGTTGTAAACAAAGAGAAAATAGATTATTTATTTATTTTCCATATTTTAGGTTATTCGATTACGATAAATAAGAAAGTCACCTTTAAAAGTTGATATTTGGTTAAGTATTTAGCTATCTCATCTCTTTCTAAATAACAACTGAAGAGGTATATCCACTATTCTATTGAGAATGAAAATGAGGGATTTTGAACAAGTTGCCATAGTTCACAGTAGAATACAAAGAACATATGAGCAGAAAAAGTTGTTTGAGAGAATAAACAATCTGAAGACAATGGATAGCGCAAATACTTAAGTTTTAGAAGATATCAAGGAGTGAATACATTTACACTACTGTGACCGATTTTCAGCCATGTCACTAAGTATCCCCAACTACTGATTTCTTTCGTCTCGGCAACCTCAACAAGACAGTTCACATATCCCCACACGGTTCAGACCAACGATCAGGGACTTTGTTTACTGGTCCCACATCTTGGTACTATTGCAAGATGAGGTAAGTGGAGGCTTGCATGAGCACGACATGTCAAACCCACTTCATTCGACTTAGGCTCACAAATTCATCTGTGGGTTTGTCTAGTTTGCTTAGTACACTTCTCCTAACTTCGACTATACTCATTTGGTGATTCTATTATACGCAAGCGGTGGTACAAAGGCACACGCGGTTGGAAATCTCTAGTTTCTTGATAATTTCTACTTTCAAAGGCCATGTCATACGGCCGCATTATAGAAGAGAACAGACTACAACACAAGACGCCCGTCCTTTAACAGGTAGTCAAACATCTCGTCAGCTGGAGCCAATAGTGATGCGATTAGGCAAATGCTAAATGTTGACGCGTTCAACTAGTTCATCCTTTTCTTTAATTCAGCAATAGTTGTCGACCAGTCCCAGAGCATCATCTTCCATTTGACAGGTGTTAAACACATGCCAGTCAAACATACTCTGATTTCCGGTCGACACGTTCAAAAGATTTTGCATCTTTTTTCACCGTCTTCACCTAATCAACATGACCAAGTTTGTTTGCATATTATATATCTTCCATCGAATGTTCAGTGTCTTACCAGATTTTCTTTACAGACTATTTTTTCAGTCATACACTATATGTTCATTGTGGTATCGATTTACATTGTTTCTAACCATAAAAATCTGAATAGATGTAATCATGCAAACGGTTCTTCTCTTCCTTCTGTATTTCTACTCATCTGTTAAGAAATCCGATAGATGTCTGAAGCGTACTCCAAGATTTTTGACTGATCATTTTTGTTGGATTAGTTCTTAGGATACAAAATTTGATGGATTCTTTATAGATGTCCTTCTTTCAGACGTCCATAATTATATATCGTATAACTGATTCTGAATAAATGAAGTTATGACAACCATAACGACAAAAATATTTATTATTTGTCGCAGGTTCCTAATGGAACATAGAGATTCAGTAGCATGTCTCCATTCCACTCTCTTCTCTGCAATCTTTTCAACCTGGCTCCACAACTGCCCAAAAGCTCTCATTTCTTCATCACACGATATCCTCCATGTCACCCTCCTCTCACACGCCCAACTCGTCGCTTCCCATCTGGGTTCCACTTGACGGCCTGGTGCGTGATGTCCCTCAATGGTCTTCTCAGTGCATCTCCACTCCCTTCTGCATATTTGTTGGACGATAGGCTTTTGGTTTGTTCCTTGCCAGTCAGAGCAGCTTCCTTCCTTCTTGCTTATTCTTATTATTCTGGCCATCTGATCAATGCTCAGTAACGAGCCAGTGTAGACAGTTGTTGGTCAATGTTTGTAGTTTGTTGGGAATGCTTTTCGTAACGCGTCAAGTATCTGAACCATATAGCAGCACTGACTTGATATTGGTGTTGAAAATCCGAGTCTTGTTCCACTTGCTGAGTGTAGTAGATTTGCACACTGCTTTCAGGTTAATGAATGCCTGTCTTACTGTCTTCACTATCCTATATTTGACGTCCTCGTCTGTGCTGCCACCTGTTGTTGAAACAGTGCTGCCTAGATAGGTGAAAGAGACTACTTCCTTCAAGTTTCTCCCGTTCATGGTGATTTAAGCTTCTTCTTCTTCTTCTTCTTCTTCTTCTTCTTCTTCTTCTTCTTCTTGGTATCATCATCATTTCCGTCTTCTCTACGTTCACTTGAAGTGTCGTCTTCGCTGCCTCGCCTATCCCGTCAACTTCTTAGTTATCGCCTGTACATCTACAAGTTTGTGCCACAAGACACTAGACACAAGTCATTGGCGAAATCCAAATCTTCTAGGTTCTTTTCCACAGTCCATCCAGTGTATCCCCCTCTTCTTGCTCCTCACTGTTTGTTGCATGATCCAGTCGACCACAATCAGGAAGATCATGGGTGATGGTACGTAGTCTTGTTTTACTCCTGTCTTCACTTGGAAAGCATCACTGAGCTTCCCATTGTGAATTACTTGGCATGTGGCGTCTTCATATCGTTGTTGAATGAGATCGATGAAGGTTTGTGGTATTACGTAGTGTTAAAGCAACTACCAAATTACTTCTCAGTCGATGCTGTCAAAGGCCGGCCTTTTCAAAGTCGATGAAGCTGAGGTAGACGATTGACGACAAAACATATGATGCAATGCAAATGTTCACTTTAGGACGGCGTAGATAATACTCAGTGTATGAGTCCCTTGTGATTTTTAAAAATAATCCATATATCAATCATCACGGAGCCGAACATAAAACAATTGCAGGAACTAAATTTTTACAAAAGCTGTAGCTCACTAACACATACACACACATACATATATACACATACACCTTAGTTGGTTGGAGGCAATTGGTAGGAAGCCGTGGACCTAGGTTTCGCGCTGTTTGGCACTCGTCAGCAAGGCGTATCTGAAACTTCGACCTCAGCAGATACGCCTTGTTGATGAGTGCCTAAAAGCACGAAACCTAGGTCCAGGGCATCCTGCTGATTGCCTCCAACCAACTAATATATACTAATGTGCACCGCGATGCTGAGCTTCCTAGCTTGGTTGCCACATTGCAAATATGATCGATAGAATTCGGTCTGCACTCAGGACTAGACAACATGAAATCGGTTGCACTCCTGTGACCAGTCAATACATACACACCTTAACTGGTGAGATATCAGTCTAGTCCTATAATAGGCATTTGTTGTAATTCATTCGAATTTTTGTAATCTGTTTTTCTGTGGGCTTCAGTTATGCGAAGTGGAGGTTCCTCTATCAAAAAATATCTATCATTATCAGCGTATATTTACCAATAGTTTAAAGAAATATAGGAATTTATGCACACCAAACGATTAGAACTGGACAAACTGACATTTTCATACTAAAATATACTTCACTAAACAGAGATACTTAATTATTCTGTTCATAACTTACGTTCTGTGTAACAGTTGGTGATGCACATGTATCTCCAGCAGATATATTTTTTAATTTATTATCAATTTTAGAAGTTGAAGTATTATTAACTTTTTCCAATTCATTATCAACATTAAGTGAATTTATTTTTAAGGATTTTATTTGAGGCGAACAACGTGCATGTTCTTCTGGGATGACCCATGGTGGAACAGCACCTGCTTCACGTCGATGTGACATATTTAACTAAATAAATGTTCAATGTTACAATGAACACTTGATTACAGGTTGTTTTATTAAATTGTAGCGAAACAGTTTAATAGGAAAATTCTATAAATTATATCAGCTTTTTTAATAAAGCTATTTTATGATTGGTTTATAAATTCTATAGCTCATAAATCAATGAAATTAAGTTTCGGTAAATTTTGATTGGTTGAAAGGCTGTTGTGTAGAATCACGTGATTATACTTTATAACCTATCTGAAATGCATACAACATATTTAAACAAATAAATGAACGGCTAACTAAAATGGTCAGTTAGGTTATTTTGTACTTCGAACTCATCATAAAATTCTGTAGTGATTTGATAGATGAGGGAAGAGAATATTTTTGTTCGACACTTTTGCTTGTAAAGGAAAATAGAAGTAAGAATTTATGTTCTCTATTCTCCTAGTCTAGATACTAAGATTTTCAAATTAGTAAAATTAGGATTTTTTGAAAGTTTGCAGTTTTTTCTCAATATTTTCACGAGAGTCATTGGAAAATTGGAGATTATTCAGTAGGTTTTTCTTTATTGAATGGAAACTCTTAGCAACATTATTCTACTATCCTCTTAAGTAGTGAAAATGTAAGCAAAAATAATTCGATAAGCTATGGCTAGTAGTAGAATCAATGGATGTGAGTTTTTGTCTTATTTGGGACTCATCAGTTGAATATATCTGCATCTCAGCTGATGATGGTTTCCAAAATGAACTTCAAACCCATCACCCAACGCTTTAAACCTCAGGGCATTGTTCATTAGACTAGGATGCAGATATATCCAGTTTCTGGCTGGAAGAAGAGCAAAATACGTGTCATAGATTCCGCTACTAACTGCCATCAAGGAGATAACACTAAATGAAACTTGAAGCACTTATTGAGGAAACCCATATAGATAAGAGTGACTGGGACTTTCACCCTTAATTGTACCCCTCCAGTTGGATGGTTTAACTGTAGTTCTACATGATATCATCAGCATAAACTTCAGGAATAAACAGCTGATAAGGATTTCTTCATGTATGATTTAGTAAACTATAATGATGAACTGGGATGTGACTGAGTGTTTCTATAACTGTTGCAATTGCATCGATATATATTTTGATTGTTTATCTTCATAGTTCGATAGCTCACCTCCTGACTGTCTACAAATACAATGGATGATATTCCAATTCATGAGGAAAAGGTGATGAACAGTATGCGAAATCATTTATACAGCCTATTTCCTCCTGGAAACTGTGCTAATGGTGTCGACTAGAGTAACATTAGAAGTTTTAGCGTTGAACAGTTCAGCTGAGAGAATGCATAGGTATCATCATCATCCTTCTGAAGTATGAATATTCTTTCTCATTTTTTAGGAACTTGAAATTTTTGAAAAGGGTACAACATAGGAGAATTTTATCTACTTAAATCTTACTGGTTAAGTTACACTTCATTAAAGGTTAAATATGAATGAAGAATATTCTTTTTAATAACTTCTCATCAGGTTCTACAGTTCGTTATAAAATCAGTTTTGATGAACATTATAATAGAATTTATGGCGAATACATTTTAGAATGAGTATGGAAATATAATTAAAATTTGACTCTTTAAAATTGTGGATGGTAGTGTAAATTATGTATATGTATATCAGTTGTATTGATAAGTTCGATGTAAACTTTCTCAATGGATTAGTGATCAGATGCATGCAGAAGGCAAATTAATAATAAAGTTCTAGGTTGTACATTGTGTCGAGTGAGTGACTGACTGAATGAGTGAGTGAAAAGATGAGTGAGTGACTGAGTGAGTGAGTGATTAGTACAGAGAATGATGATATAAATTTACTTAAGTGCACCAATGAAGTGAATATGTCACCAGAAGATGGTTAATATGTGAAACGAATAAGATAATCAGAGTAGTAATAATGTAAAAAAATTTTAACAGGAATTTTAAGACGCGAGGTAAGTCTGGTTAAAAACAATAGAATCAATAATAATAATTTCGTCTTTTATTTTAAGAAGAAAAAAAAGAAGAGAGCTTGGATGAAAAAGGGTAGATTAAGAAAGAAACGAAAGGTTGAGGGATTAATGGAAGGCCAAAGGATGAGTAAGCCTTGAATGTGTTCCTTTTGAATACAAAATTTATGCTCAGTTGATCTTATAGCTACAGCTTCTGCTATATGGGGAATGTGTAAACGAATGGTACACGGTAGACTCTTCAGAATGCGGCATATCACACACACCTATTTGGTGTCCTGTATCTATCAGATATGCTAGTATATAGAACATCTAGTGGGTTTGATCTCAACATTTACAAATCAAGCCGGTCAGTGTTCTTGTATCCTGAGACGAATATGTCTAACAGTGCGCTATATATAACTTATCCCATGGGAACATTTGAAGTGGTGTATGGATGATGATGAGCTGAAATTAGGTAAGGTGTCCTTAAATCTCCAGTTGAACAGTGATTGGTTATTGAAGGATAGGCGTAGATGTCCTGAGTCAAACGTTCTATTTATTACTCTGGATAGATGTTGTATGTGTCTTCTTTAAATTGCAGACGTAGAAACAAAGGTTTTTTTCCTAAACACTTGTCAGTTCGTGTTTTTGATTACTTCGAGTGATGTTTGCTTTTATAAACTTATCTAGATGTTCGTTTTCCTTTAAAATATGTTGAAGGACTTTTAATTCTTTCTTGACATATTCCTTAGAGTAGATAGATCTTGCTGTCAACGCTAAACATCTGATAACATTTCATTTGTACTTCATTGATACAATGCTGAGGAAGTGTGTATACTGTGGCTTGGTCATCTTCGTACATACACCTCTTTTCAAAGGATTGTCTTCTTTTTATTGTCATTAGGACATTAAGGAAATGCAGAGAATTACAACTTTCACATTTATTCGTAAAATGAACTGATGGATGGGCGTTATTGAAGTGGTTGGGGATTAAATCAATAAAAATATATCATCCATATACAGACGATACAAATCTATATCAGTAACATTATTCTTTAATAGTCCGTTTTCTAGTTGACATAAAAATATATCAGCACATATATGGCCTTGTGGGGATCCCATCGATACTCCGTCTATTTGTTTGAACATTTTGCTGTTGAATAATAATTGAACATTCATTGTGCACGTGACTAGCGATTCCCTCAAAATTCTCAATAGGGATGCCTTTATTTATATTCCTTTCTACCACTGATTCATAGACATAGTCCACAGTTTCAATGCACAATCTTAAAGAGTGAAATTTAATTATAATTATATACCTTATTCCTAAATGCATTTGCCACGAAATTCTGGCTGTTATTAATATTCATCACGGAATGGCATCAGTTGGGGAACCGTTGAAGGCCCGGGAGAAGTGGACAGCTGTTTCATCCTAGTATGGGACTTCTCAGCAGTACGCACCCACGACCCGGCTAGGGTCTAACTCAGCACCTTCAGGTTCCACGGCGAACGCGCTAACCATTGAGCCACTGGGTCGGTTTCCAGTGGTTCACAATTTCCAACTTCTGTCAATTCATGACATAGCGCGACTGTCACCCAAGGTCTTCAGTTAGCATCCATTTCACTTCCGACTGGTTGACCCCATAGGTCACGGCTTCTCATTAGAGCTTCGCGTACTGCTGAGGAGCCCCATACTAGGACGAAACAGCTGTCCAGTGCTCCCGGGTTTTCAATGGTTTTCCAACTGATGTCAGTCCATGATGAATACTACCTCTAAATTAAAAATCTCCATTCATCTCAAAAATATGTTATTAATATGTTAAGGAAATTGATTTTATAACTAACCGTAGAACCTGATGAGAAGTTATTGAAAAGAATATTCTTTAGTTTTATTTAACTTTAGTATGCTTTATTCTTGATCATGTATTCAATGAGCTATATTCAACTGTATCTATCCATAGAGGGTGAATAGTACTTGAAGAAATCCTTCAGTAAACCTTTACAATACTACATTACAGTTTCAGATGGTTCAGCAGAAATAATTGTTACTTTTAGGCGTATCGCTGCTCGATGTACTCATATGAACTTATATGTACTGGAAGAATAATCTTCAGATGAAAAACCATTGATAGTAGCTTTAAATCCTTGGAAGTAGTAAAGGTGGTAGGAAATCAGAAAGTTTACTGTAAGATCAATTATGTACAAGAATTCTATGTTGTATATGGGTGGTATTCGTACAAGTAATGAAGAATTCGACGAAATATGCCTATTGAGTCAGAAAGGAAACGGATAACTCAGCGAAGGAAATTCTTTCTTTCTGAACGATATCATTTTCTAAGGCTCTACAATCTTATTCATATATATATATATATATATATATATATATATATATATATATATATATATATATATAACAGTCTGTTATTAAACAATAGGGTATAATTGCATCATTAAGCTAGTGATAAACCACCTGAAATCAAGAATGCAAAGTAGTTGTGCGATAATCTTTCAGAGGGTAGAAATAACGAAGAAGGCAAAGAGTTTGACAAGGTGGAAATTGTTAATAGATGAGAAATGCGAATATTGAGTGCCCACTTAAATAGCAGATAGATGTAAAGAAGGTGAAGAATGAGACAAAGGTCATAATGAAGATGATAATAACAAACTAACTAATTATAATGAAATCGAAAAATGTGAAAATATGATAAGAACTTGGAATTAAAACAGGATATAGAACAAGTACTCTAAGTTCCAAAGAAGACGTTGTTTATGAACGTTGGTTTCAAAGGCGATACGTCAGAAGAGATCCTGAAGAATCAGCTGTCCAGATCGCTAAAGAAGACATTCCTCTTTACAAAGCTACAAATCAGCAACTGGTTTTGGAGTGCGTTAAGACAAGTTGCGACTTTGTGCCATCTCTATGTGTGTCTATAAATTTACTTCCTCCTGTGTAGCTAGTTATATAGGCTACAAAAAGTACACACTTTCAAGACTTATCTGTGAGCACTATCCTGTATGGCTGTCGAGGGAAGAATGGTTGAACATTTGGTCAACTCTAGACATAAAGCTCAACCAGAATCCTCCTTCAGTATCATTTATCGTGTCGAATGGAATAGTTCAAAAGGAGTACATCT